TCATAAAAATGGAACACACCTACTGCTTGCCATCTTGCTGCCATCATTTTCCTATTCACTACTGTTTATAAAAACTATGATAAATTGTACATCTAGGTCTTTGGCACCTAACTACTTGAGAAACTGTAACACTTTCTAGGAAAACTGATAGAGGAAAAAAGTAGCTCATTTATTCACTAACAACAAAGATGTCTGACAAAAATTCTGCTACTTGTAAAGAAATACAATCACAAAGGCAAACTATTGAAGATGTATGTGGTAACCACACAACAAAATAAACCACAAAATAATTTATCCTTGATGCTATAAATCTATGATACTTGGTTGACAAAGAAGTAATCATTAAGGTGCTTACTCCACAAAATAGCAATTACATTATTATCAGTATCAAACCATCAGTAAAACTCAGAAGGTAATATCTTGCCTATAAAGAAGACCAGTTAAAAATATAAGTTTTATCTTTTTTACTTGCAAATATATAATTCTTTCAAAACAAGTAATTTCAAGACAAAAGAAAGACTCTGAATATTTGGAGTATTCTAGTCCTGAGTGTGATATTCCAGGGCTGAAATTAATTCAAACTAGGTAAACAACCTTGAAGATAGCAAGATTACCTATAATCAAATATGATTACTTTGAATACTATTTCTAAGACTCTGTGGCATAATAAACTTTGAGCATGGGCTGATCATCCTACTTGAGACAAAAATAAGGCATGCACTCAAGTAACTGACCATGTAGTAAAGAAATCTTTTACAGTATGTACTCCTATCAACAGAATTACTATTTCACACCAATCAAATTCGTAGCATTTAAACAGAACTAAAATGCAAATTTCTTCCAAAATGTAAGTTTTCTATTCCTATTTAGGAATAAAAACTGAAATAAAGAGACATTATACATAAAATTCAGGAAGTTTATGCAATCATAGTTGCAAGCTTTCTGAAGTATTAAATAATGCAATGCCGATTTCCTTACTCTTTTTACTTTTAAAATTTACATATAATAACTGTACAGATTGATGGAATACATAGTGTTGTTTCAATATCTATAATGTATAGTGATCAGATCAGGGCAATTAGCAAATTCATCTTGGTCAATGGTTTGATCTTAACAAGTAAAAGTAATTTCTGAATTAGGTTATATGGTCTATAAAGTCTATTCCATCTCTATGAATATTTGGTTCCAATTGGTTAAATATAAATTCAAGTAATTTGCAGCCTTCTTCTGGGACTGCGTCAAACTCAGGTAATTAAGCCACCATTTTGCATTCAAATGATGTCATAAAATTTCTAAATAGTACTCAAGCAGCCTGAGGGAGTTACTGTTATTTAACAAAGACTCATACTATATGCCCAGCACTGTTCTAAGTGCTTTACAAATATTAACTCATTTATACAGTATTTTCAAATATTTAGTAACTAAGTTCTTGTGAACCTTAATGATCATGTGAACTGGCATTTACCAGTGAATTAAACAACCGCAGCCACTTACTCTTTGAAATTAAAATGATTCATTTCTAAAAATTAGAATTATCCCACAAAGCAGAATCTGGTCAGTTAACTCTCCTTACTAAAACCCTTTGACTGCCTTCAGGATAATTTCCAAATTCCTCAGCAAGTCAAAAAGATGCTGCAGCATCTACATTCTGCTTTCCTGTTTCATCTTGTCTGCCTCTTAAATCTTAATTATTTGCAATTAACAAAAAACATGTCTGTCCTAACTCCCATGTGCTGTGTACTTACTGTCTCTTCTATTGGACATGCTCACCCCTCCCTTTAATATGGCAATTCCTAACTCACCCGCAAACACAGCTTCCCCAGAAAACCCCCTCTAACTGCTCACCCAGGTTAAGGACCGAGTCTTCTTTGCCTTCACAGTTCTCTCATTACCTCCAGAAAAATCCCAGGGCAAAAGTATAATTATTATTCACTCATTCATCTTTCCACTTGTTTGTGAACTCTGTAACGGGTAAAATTGTGTCTTTTATCCCTAGATACCCAGGGTCTTGCACAAAAAAATTGGTCCAGGGTAGCACAAGTAAATAAATCCCTTTTACATAAACAAATCAACAAATGTATATAAGCTTTGTGAATTCACAGAAAAAGCATTCTGGTCTTGTTTCTGAAGTAGAAAGGCAGTTGCTAAAAATATCTATGGGTGTGTAAGATGCCATAAGTTACATCTATTTAATTATCAAGAAAATAACAAGGGCCATATAAAATCAACTTATGGTTTCAGGTGCAATGACAGCTCTTAGGGAAAACAGAAATGCCAGAAGAACAAGAAAATTTCCTAGTTTCCTATTTGAAGGAAAAGTTGACTTACTTACAGCCAACTTTTTAAGGTCTTTACAGTTCTGCCCAGATTTGGTCTTAGCTGTCAATTATGTCCACCTGTAGGGTAGGTAGCATGGTAAACCACAGTGGCTGCCAGGTGATGCAGACATGGAGACATGTGTACATTACTATGTGCCAGATACTTTGATGACAAAACATCACTTTCACTTCTGACTTGAATTAAGAACCTGTTAAACTAATTGCTGTTAAATCAAATCCTACCAATTCATTCAAACCTCACCAAAAACCAGTCATTCTTCTCAATTATGAGTTTTACTGCTGTAAGAAGTAGAAGCTGGACCCAAGGTATCTTCTGTCCCAAGTTAAGAGGCCATTGATCAAAAAAAACTGCAGAAGTGGTGCTCTATAAATGCAGAGAAAAGGAAGAGGACTGGTCTGTTTTCCAAAAGCGGTGACCCTTCACCAACACAGAGGACAGAAGGTACCTGAAGACCAGCATGAAGCAGAGGTTCTCAGTGTTCCCAGGTTTGATCCTGTGATTTTCTTTTTATGTATCCCTACTTCCTTCAGTCTCCCTTCCTCTCCCAGAAAGTTTTTGTGATTTTTTTTTTTTTTTAAGCACTGGGTATATCAGCAAAAGTCAGACTGTGAGAAACTCTACGTGATGAAAGACCTCATGCCTTCATGGAAAAAAAAAAAAAAAATGGAGAAGGGAGAGCCATACACTAAAATACTTTCTTAAAACAAACAAAAAAATAGACTAATGTCAGTTTATAGATATTATCGGGGTCCTGGTTCAGACAAACGAACTTAAATGTTTTATATATAAAATGTATACTGTATGTATACATACATAAATATGTATATGTATAGTAATATGTGTATACAGACATAAATATTTTAAAAGTGTACATATACATGCACATATATATAATATCTGAGACAACTAGAAGTTGGAAAAGACAGGATATTTGATAGTAGTAAGAAATTATTCTTAATTTTTAAAAATATTATATCATGGTTATATTTTGTAAAGAATCCTTATCCTTTAGTGGTTTATTACTGAGGTTTTTATGAATAAAATGACACGATTTGTTTCAAAATAATACAGGAAAGAAAATGGGTAAGACATAGGTAAAATAAGATTTGCCATGAGTTGCTAATTGTTGAAGCTGGAGGGTCAATAAAATATTCTACTTTTTTGTGTGTTGCAAATGAGTGTGAGAATATTCCTCCATAGAAATAATCCTAATTAATTGAAAAATAAGACAGGAAAACTGTGTTCCTTGCTTCTTCAGTTTTACCATGGTAACAAGTCAAAATTAAAAAGGAAAATAGGCAATTATTGAACATTAATTCAAATAAAAGAATCCTTCAATTAAAGATTTAACAGATATTCTACTACAATAATCTAATTTTGATGGATATTACTGTAGTCCTTTAACTTCCTACCATATATTAACAAAATATTGACAGAACCAAATATTTGGCTACAAATACAGAATTAAATAATATTTTCTATTCTATATATTTTACACATATAGATAAATTAGCAAATTATTACATGAAGATATATGTTAAAGTACTGATAAATATATGAAAACATTCAGCTTGCCTTTACTTCAGTGAAGTTTACAAAAATTTCAACCACATGAACAATTCTTGTCTTTTTGTTTGTTTGTTTGTTTGTTTGAGTTGGAGTCTCAGTCTGTCGCCCAGACTGGAGTGCAGTGGCCGCTCCCGGCCACCGCAGCCTCGACCTGCTGGGCTCCAGCGATCCTTCCGCCTCAGTCTTCCAAGTAGCCGTAACTACAGGCGTGTGCTACCACGCCGGTTAATTTTTTATTTATTGTAGAGATGAGGTCTCATCAAGTTGCCTGGGCAGGTCTCGAACCCGCAGGCTCAGGCAATCCACTCGCCTCGGCCTCCCAAAGTGCTGGGATTATAGGCTGAGCTACCAAGCCCGGCCCCATTCCTGTCTTAATATGTACTTACAGGTGGGGGTCAACTGCCTGATAGGTTGATGTTTATAAACACAAAAATATTTACATAGCCCCCAAAATAATTCCTGAAATTAGCCAGTAAGTCCAAAGCAATTTTCAGGCATATCTGTGGATGTGTGGTATTGATCTAAATACGGGTACAACAATAAACTCGATTTTTAAAAACACAAATGCTCAAGAAACAACACAGCCCTAATTACACGAAGAAACCTGTTACCAACAGAGGAAGAGGGGAGAGGGACATCTTTTCTAGAATGTGGAGATAAAGGAGCTCATCTCTTGTGTCCACAACTCTGAGTGAAGGGAACCTTGCAGTTTAACTTATTTTTACAGTTTGGGTTTCTTGGGCATGTCTAGCCTTGTTTTTCTTCAATTTTTTTACAGTACCAATCTTAGGTTAATCATTTATCTTCTCTTTGAGGACTAAAACATCAAGGATTATTCAAACCCTGCCCCAATACTATCTCCCTGCTCCCTTACACAGGGCTTTTGCTTGACAGCTATGAGAGGGTCTCCGCCCCTTTGCCCAGGTTACTGCACAGTTGGGGGCATCCCGCAAAAGCTTCCCTCGAGCAAAGCCTTCGGCCTGGGGTTCTTTGGGCTCTTTTTGCACCTTATCTTCTTTTTTTTTTTTTTTTTTTTTTTTTTTTTTGCACAGGGAGCGCCATGCATGACTCGCATCGGGACTGCGCCCATTTCACCCAAGAAGACATCGCGTCTCCGGGGCAACCGAGAGCACACGCGGGGTCGCGGTGGGCCGGGCGGCGGGAGGACCACCCCCGGGTCGCGCCTCGACTCTCACCTGCCGGCCGCCGGGGTCGCCCCGCACTCGCGTGTTCAGCGCGTTGTGCCGAGTTTCGTCTCCGCTGCTCGAGCTGTAGAGGAGGCGCAGCGGCACGATGCTCTGGCGCTCTAGGAAGCGGTTTTCGCTCCTCTTCTCCAGCTCCGGCAGCGAGGCGTCTCCTCCAGGCAGGAAGCGGGGAAGGAGGGAGTGAAGAGAAAAGGCGAAAATAATGACCGTGACCTACACTCCTCCATCCTGCAGTCCCGCGTCTCCCCTACGCAGACCCCGCCGCCCCTCCCTCCCGGAGCGTATCTGGAAAGGACGCAGAGACACCCGCACCAGCTCATCTAAGCGCATCCAGTATCGGGGCCCAGGCGCGGGGCACCCCTTTCCCATCCTCCCCATTCCTCTCCAGAAGGAGGAAAACAGGCTTTTGTCCGAAGGATTCTTGTGCACCCGCGCGCCCCCTCACATATATTTTTGCTCCACTTCTCACCCTCCCAAATTAAAAAAAAAAAAAAAAAAAATCTCCCCGCGCACTCGGGAAATGGGGGCGCCCGTTCGCAGTGCGCCTGAGGGCTCCAAAGACTCCCGGGAGATGGCACGTCCCGAAGCCACAGAGGGTGGCCAACTTACCTGCCGGGCCGCAGCGCGCCGGGGGGCAGGTCCCCAGGGCGCAGAGCAGCAAGAAGGGCACGGACGCAGCCGCCGCCGCCGCCCGCATGGTGCCGCCGTCAGCCCGCCTCGCCCGAGCCGCTCAGCTCCTCATG